TTCTGTAAAAAAAAAAAAAAAATCCCTATAAATGAAAAAAATGCAGTCACTTAAGTGAGCCTAAACCTGCAGCTCAATAATCAAAAATATAATCAAAACATAATTTCTGTAAAAGTAAAAAATTATTTTTTTTATAAAAAATCCAGTCATTAAACCTCCAGCTCAACAAGGTTTTTGGAGACATGCTCGCTTTCTACACATTCATCTTTCAGTCCAAGTTATGATGCAGGAATGTTCACCTTTCCCGGATTAAGTTTGGAGCCATGGTTTGGAGCGGTGAGGTACGAGAATGTGTGCACATACACACATAAGGAAAGAGAGAACGCGAGTGTCACACACACACACACACACACACACACGGTCTCTCCGTACAACACTCAAACAGTGACAAAGTTTGTTTTTTGTTTTTTAAATGCGTGATTTTGAACAGATGTAAACAATGGCAGGAGGCTTAAACGTATAGACGTGTTACCAGCTAAATTTAATTATTGTACTAAATCACAGAAAGTACAGTACATACTTTAGACTGCTATTCCTCACTCTGTGAAGTAACGTGAGGGAGGAAACTAGTTGACGTTAGCTAGTTAATTAGCCATGTTATCTGCCTCGGTAGCAAGCCAAATAGTATTTATTTCAGCACTGAAACAAACGGCGGATGGGTCTTGATCGGGGGTGAAAGAGGGAGAAATGAAGATGACACAGATATATAGTTTATGTTCGACCTGGAAGTATTTATTTAGCGATCGGCGCTAAAACGTCATCTGTACGGAACATCATTCCGTACAGGACTGCATACCGCAGGAACAGTAGAACGGAAAATTTTAGTGGTTTTGAAACCGTGATTTTTCCAAACCGCGGTATACCTTGAAACCAGTTATCGTCCCATGCCTAGCTCTACATGATCCCAGCCAATTTATAAGGGTATTTTCTAACGAAACGATTGGCCATTTTCTAAAAAAGTTAAAATTATATACTTTTTAACCACAAATGCTTGTCTTGCACTAGTTCTGCAATGCGCGTCCACAAATTCACGCATTGGTCACGCATGACGTAGGTGGAAGCACCAACCCAGTGTTAACAAAGCGAACGTGCAAAGACTAAATCAAAACGCCCTTTACCAAAGGTAAAACAATGATGTCAGACGATTGTGAAGTTGGAGGAGAAAATCAGATGAAGTTTGGTACTACTTCTGCCTATGCCACGCCGTGGCCTTTCCAATGTGATTATGTAATGTGTGGAGTCGTGGACGCAGATTGCCGAACTAGGGCAAGACGAGCATTTGTGGCTAAAAGGTATATACATTTTTATTTTGTATATAAAATGGCTTATTGTTTCGCTAGAAAAGACCCTTATTCCTCGGCTGGGACTGTGTAGAGCCCTTTAAAGCTGCGTTGAAACTGCAATTTGGACCTTCAAACCCGTTGCTCCCTAGCTGTTGAAGTCCACTACATGTAGGAAAATCCTGGAATGTTTTCCTCAAAAACGTCAACTTTTTTTCAACTGAAGAAAGAAAGGCATGAACTTCTTGGATGACATGGCGGTGAGTAAATTATCAGTAAATCTATTAATAATCATCTATTATTTTTGTGGTCTCCAGTGGTTTGTTGTTGTTCCATCTCCTTCATTTCTTCTTTGACTATGAAAGGACTGGCCGGGCTAGTGTTGCCACCTTGTGCACAAACTTATTAGTGCAAAAAAATGTGTGTGAGGGCTCACCAAACACACTTGTGAATGGTTGCCAAAGAAACAAAACACAGGGACAAAGTGTTGCCGTGTCCATATGGATGCTCGATGATGATGATGTGCTTACAGCACCTCTGAGCATGGAATGATTTACACAGCAAATGTGGACTGTGGCGTAACGTGTGTGTGCTCTGGTGCATGCATGCTCTTCAATCACCCTCGCTGCTGGGCATGCACGCTCTACAGATGTGGATCATTACAGGCTCTCCAAAGCCAGATGTGTGTAATGGGTTGGTTGAAGTGTGTCAGTGATGTTCTCCAGGGGCAGGGTATTGTGGAGTGAATAGTTGTTGGACTGTAAAGAGCTCTCTCTGACTGTCTCAATTAACCAGCACCCGTAATGAGTCATCAGAGGGCCGTATTCATGTACACTCATTTTGATTCATTTCTCTTTATGTGTACTCTGTGCTGGTTTGTGTCTGGATCCAGTGTGAAAATATATGCATTTGAATGATACCTACACTCTTAAAAATAAAGGCTCCAAATGGGGAGTTTCCTCAGTAAGTGCAGTAGAAGAACCATTTTGGTTTTCTTAAAAGGACCTTTTGAATGTGAAGTGTGAATAATTAATCATTTAAAGGTCCTTTTTCCACCATAATAATGGAAAGGTTCTATGGATGTTCTTCGACAGTAGATGCCAATAAAGAAAATTGTATTTGCATTTAAATCCAGTATATACTAATCCTTTGCAGTGTTAGGTGTAATGCATTACTAAATAATTCATTACTGTAATTTAATTAAAAAGTAAAGTGAGGGATTACTCTTACTTTTTCTATAATTTAATTAGTTGCTTAAATACTGTAGGGACTATAGAACAATTCTAGCCGACATAAAAACAATAGAGGATTTAACATCAAAATTTAACATTTAATGTTAAAATGCATGTTTTTAATGTAACCTTACCCCTTTAAACAACTTGGCCAGTTCAAGAATAATTTATGCAATTTTATATTTATTATTTGAAAGAATTAAAAGAGTGGTTTCATGTCCATCCTTGTATTGTTAAACTGGTTGAAGCTGATATGGGATTTAGAAAGTAGTAATAAGTCATCAGAGGGCCGTATTCATGTACACTCATTTTGATTCATTTCTCTTTATGTGTACTCTCTGCTGGTTTGTGTCTGGATCCAGTGTGAAAATATATGCATTTGAATGATACCTACACTCTTAAAAATAAAGGCTCCAAATGGGGAGTTTCCTCAGTAAGTGCAGTAGAAGAACCATTTTGGTTTTCTTAAAAGGACCTTTTGAATGTGAAGTGTGAATAATTAATAATTTAAAGGTCCTTTTTCCACCATAATAATGGAAAGGTTCTATGGATGTTCTTCAACAGTAGATGCCAATAAAGAAAATTGTATTTGCATTTAAATCCAGTATATACTAATCCTTTGCAGTGTTAGGTGTAATGCATTACTAAATAATTCATTACTGTAATTTAATTAAAAAGTAAAGTGAGGGATTACTCTTACTTTTTCTATAATTTAATTAGTTGCTTAAATACTGTAGGGACTATAGAACAATTCTAGCCGACATAAAAACAATAGAGGATTTAACATCAAAATTTAACATTTAATGTTAAAATGCATGTTTTTAATGTAACCTTACCCCTTTAAACAACTTGGCCAGTTCAAGAATAATTTATGCAATTTTATATTTATTATTTGAAAGAATTAAAAGAGTGGTTTCATGTCCATCCTTGTATTGTTAAACTGGTTGAAGCTGATATGGGATTTAGAAAGTAGTAATAAGTAATACAATAATTTTTAGAGAGGTTAAATGGTACAGAAATAAAATTACTCTGTTGAAGATGTAATTAATAGCTAGTAATCAATTAAAACTAAATTATTTATGTTTAGTTAACAATTTTTTATTATAATTTTAAAACACTAAAAAATAAAGAATAATTTTTTTACATAAAACTCACATCATATCATTTGTCTTGGACAAAGGGGCTTTGGAGTCAAAAAGTTGAGAACCACTGCCTTAAAATGTTCTCTATGTAGGCAGCTCACTGTGTTTTGGAACGTGGCTAAACTCACTCCAGTGTTAATGGGCTTTAACTGCACACTGTGTACAGATGTGCCTGGCTTCTTTCAGAGCAGCTTCCATCAGTGAAGAAAAACATGAACCGTCTCAAATCATTCCTCTTTCTTGTTTGCCTTAGGCTGAGAAGGCCGATCTTTCACCTTCCTTATTTACATTTCATCAAACCTCTCTCTTTCGTTTTGCATTTAAATGGATCGCTGACATGTGGGAAGGTAAATCAGAGTTTGACTGATGTTCTAAATTAATTTTGATATGATAAAACGAACTGCTTTTTATGATTTTTAGCACTATGATCCAGGGATGGAGCTTTTCCTTTCTAAATGTTATGCATATGCAAGGAAAAGCCTGGGTTTGGTACAGGCAGCAGGTATTGCATAAATCCATATTAAATAAAATTATAAACATAACACAGTGATAGAACATTATTTTAATAGGAAGTTGATTGTTAATGCTAATACAGCACCTCAAGCATGCTAAATTATATATATATATATATATATATATAATGACATTATATAATATGATGTAAAATAATACCATATAATATACAGTATGACACTGTATATAATGCTTATGCTTACCAAGGCTGCATTTATTTGATCAAATTTGATCAAAAAACTAATATAATATTGTGATCAGTAGTGTATATGATATAAATAATATAAATATATGCACGCCCACTATGTTTGAAAAGTCAAGAGTGGGCATGTTAAAAGCATGTAAGTGAATTGACAGATGCGAACAGTTCTTTACAACAGATTTTCACATAAACGACAATTCGGCATATTGTACATGATATAAAATTCAAAACTGAACGAAGTATTAAACTGCTACAAGTGATCAAAAACACAACTGGCTGCAAAAAAGGTCATACACTATAAATTAATCTATTGAAAATATATATGTATAAATAAATCCAACAGCATCCATAATATATTATATTATGTTATTATATAATATATGATATAAGTCATGACATGACTCATGAGATTAAAATTTTTTTTTTTCACATAAGCCTGTCAGTTAATATTGTCGTGGGTTTTCTTAGCTGACTCATTTGTAATGTAGGCGGAGAATAATAGAGGTCCACAACAAGACAACAAGATTGAAGCCATCACGAATTGAGATTTGTTCTCCAAACCAGAGCAAATACATGACATTTAACAGTGTGAGGACTGCCTAACAGTATTGTGATGCTCTTGCTTGGGCACAAACAGAATGATCTGGAAATATTCATTTGCAAATATGAGTTATTCTGAATGAATATTCTTATCAGTTTTCTATCAGCTGTGACATATAAATCTGAATGTTTTTTATATTTAATCCAAAGGCATTTTTTACCTTTATAGAGGGCATTTTCCCCCTAACCTCATTAATACTTCATCTTTCATTTCAAATTATTACATTTAATCTGTAAATTTAATTATAATAATGTGATTATTGTTATCTATACCAGGGGTTTTCAACCTTTTAGGACATGCGCCCCCACCCAACATCCAACAACCAATATCCATTAAAGCTATTAAAGCAGCGAACAATTTTTCTTTTGCTCTTTTTGATTAACATTATTTACATAAGAAATGCACGGATCCGTTATGTACATTTTATATTTTCTTCACTGTTTACATTCACTTAAAATAACCGACTGTGCTTACAAGGATACTTGTCAAGACATCCATTGATATTCACCTGCTGTCTGAGAAGGCTATCTGTTTGTGCACTTCAGGTGTGTGAGCTGTGCGCATAGAAATGCTCTATCACAGTGCGTGAGTACCGCATTGAGATGTCTTGGGCTTAAATGGCTTAAAATTACTTTAATGTTTAAACTGACAAGACTTAAAACACGTGAGGATGAAAAACTTTCTTGAGAAAGCAGCACTGGCCTGATCGTTAAGATAGTTTTGGGGTGACAGATAGGGGGGCTGAATCCCACCTAAAAAGGGTTTAGAACCGCCCCTGGTATAGCGTTCGTAATTATACTGAAACATAAATATATAACCAGTTTACCTGATTCAATGTGATGGCTGAGCCTGTTTCTGAGACAACAACATGCCAGTCCGTGGTTGGATTTCCGACACGGCTAATCGTAAATCATTACACTGTCAATAAGCGTGACCAGGGTTGCCAGGTTTTCACAACAAAACCCGCCTAACTGCTACTCAAAACTAGCCCTGGAAAAATTGTTCCTCCACTGGACAACGTCCATCTGTTGACTAATACGATCCTGCGCTCAACACTTTTAAAGTGTGTACAGAAAGTGCCCAGCTAATGATATGAAATGCACAGAACTAGTGCTGAGAGCTGTGGGAATCATCAGAGTGAGTGAGTCAGCCGAGAGCACATTGCACAACCCCAGTGCTGAGCAACGTGCAGTAACAGGAGCTGGTTTCATAATGTGGATTCATACCAGAAATGATTCACTGACTCTGCCTCTTGTGGTTTTCTCACCATGACTAGGGTTGTAAGGATCTAATGAGTGTGTCTGGAAGAGAAGGAGTGAAGAACAGACCTGTCAGGACAGATTTCACATCTGGACCCCCCTGTTATGTGCAGGCTAAGCTAAAGAAAAAAGACAATTCTAAAGCATTGCTTGAAGCAACGTCCTATTCCACTACCCCTATCAACAATAATGTCACAGAGCTGTTTTATAGAGTAACCCAATGACCAATAATTGAATGAAAACAAAACAATTTAACACCAAAACAAAGTGAATGGAGCACAAGTGGCTTGGCACTCGGGCCATTTCTTAAGGGCCTTTTTCACACCAAAAAAGATAACTATTACCATAACTATATTAGTATCCACACCAACACACGATACCTTTGTTTATAATAAGCACATGCTGTCATTTTTTGTCTCCCGCTCTTATAATCATAAAGAGAAATGTTTATAGTTATAGTTATCGTCCTTGATGCAAACATCCATATACCGGCCTCAAGACAGACACCCTCCTACAATGCAAGTCTAATGTAACTTTTCCACTGCATGGTACGGCACGGTACGGCTCGGTACGGTTCACTTTTGGGGGGTTTTCCACTGGGAACAGTACCTGGTACCTTGTACTTTTTTTAGTACCACCTCGGTTGAGGTTCCAAGTGAACCGTACCGTTACCAAAATGTGACGTGTAAACTCTGCTGATCACGTATTGGCCGGAGAGAATCGTCACTACCTGCGTCACTGAACTTGCGACACAAACACAACAGAACCGCTAGATTTAAATCAGCACAGCCAGTGAAGGATCGAATGCAACTGTTTTGAACAAGCGCACCTTTTTTAACAACCAAAAAGTGGCTGTTTCGCTGTCTTTTGAGGAAATACAGACGTTCCACTCGTTGATAGCAGAGGAGCGGATCCAGCGAGCTTGATGGGGCGATGCGGAATGAAAAAGTTTTTTAGGAGTCGCGGCAGACAGAGGCGGCGCAACTATAACGACATGTGAATAATCCCGCCCACTCTAAAGCGGTACTGAACTGCAGTGAAAACACAAACCGAGTTGTTCCGTGCCGTACCGTACTGAGCCGTGCCGAGCCGAGTCGTACCACGCAGTGGAAAAGCGCCATAACTGTCAACTAGCAGTGGAAGTCAGATTGCCCCCTAGTGGATGGCTAAAGATTTGTTAACTCATATTCATAAATTCTCAAGGGAACGTCTCAGAATCAACTGATGCTCGCGCCCCCCCCCTTGACAGTTGAAAACCCCTGATCTATACGTTATCAAATTAAATCATTTACACTGAAAAAATACAACTGCACTGAATAATGTTATGAGATTATTATTAATATTTTTTGGAATATACTAACAAGAAACGATGGTGGAAATGATACTTTTAAACTAAATTAAAACGCCAGTAGGTGCCAGTAGTGAGCGTTTTTATTGAGTGAGTCACTGAGTTGTTCATTTAAGCGATTCGTTCAAACGGCTGATTAATCAAATGTTTATGCATGGACTAATGAAACTTTGACTCAACCGATTCGCTCAGAGCACGGAATCATTCAGCAATGAATCGGCTGGTTGCTGTGAGATGCGCTGTGGTTCCGCCTAAAATGTAAGTGACCTAGTATTATTGTACTTGCTTATTGAACTGTTTATTGAACTATTAAACAGTCGTAATGGTGAAAACGTTGTGTGATGTTGCCTAACTGTATTTTAAATATAAAAACTTTTCATTTTGCATTTTTACCTTAGCATGCTTACTTGTCTGGTATTAATGAAGCGTTAATGTCAAGCCCTGGAGTCTATGTGCCGGGGCTCAAACCCCGGACGGCCCCGGCCCAATTTAAGCCCTGCCTACTGCACTTATTGAAGCCCTTCTACACCCATGAACCTTTCTGAGAATGATTACTTGGTAGGAGCTGCCTACTTGTTTATCTGCGATTTGGTGGGTTTTCCATATTCTCCATAGACTTTGCTTTTCTCTGCCACTTTCTCCCTGGTCTCCGTGGCCACATAGGACTTTGCAGCCTACACCGGCTCTGTGGAATAACAAGTAATGACTTTACAGTGCCAAGCCAACCTGCTGCTCTCAGCCAGAGCCCTGTCTCCATCGATGATGGCTGATTTAATGATGTGCTTTGAAGAACAGCTTTTCTATAGGCAATAGTTATGCTTGGCGAGTCTTTTCAATGGTCAAAATTATGCGTTCTGTGCGAACAGCTCATTATCGCACAATAATCAGTGTCTGAACATAATTTCTCGATGTTTCGGGCATAGATGTAAACCATATAGATTTCCAGCTGGTATCTAAACTGACATTACCATGCTTTTGTGCACTCGCACTGTACCAGGTGTTTCTGGACTTCATTATGGTGAGAGACTGGAGATGTGTGTTCTGTCGCATCTCAGGTGGTGGAAGTATGATAAGCCCAGGGGTCGAGGCTGCTCCCAGATTGAATTTATATGTAACAATCTGTTTCCATCTCAGCAGCAGATGCCTGGCAACCACGTCCATGCGATCAGTGGTGAACAGCTGTCATTGTCAAAAGAGAAATCACAGCGAAGTCTGTGAAAAAAAACAAAACATGAAAAAAGGAACTGAGCGGTAACTCTCATCGTACCGAAGGAGGGGTCATTGTGAGGAAGTGTTTTTCTCACCTTTTCTTTCATCAGGGTGTAATTAATAAGAACCATTAAGGCTCAGCAAGAAGTACAGTCCTGCAAACTGATGGATCATCATGATGGTTGACTATTGATGGCCAGCAAACAACTAGTAGTCTGTTAAGTTTACTAGTTTATATACAGTGGGTACGGAAAGTATTCAGACCCCTTAAATTTTTCACTCTTTGTTATATTGCAGCCATTTGCTAAAATAATATATTTCTTAATTTTGTTTTACAGCAGTGTTGTTTTTGTTTTTCAAGATATATACTTAACCTATTGTTTATTGACTGATAATAGACTCTTTTTTTATTCATATCCGTTGGTATTTTATATATATTGGCCACTGACAACATTTTTTATTAATTTTTATACTGTACATTATAGGCCTGGTTTCACAGACAGGGCTTAGACTAAGCCAGGATTAGGCCATAGTTCAATTAGGACATATAAGTCATTTTTATAAATGTGCCTTAGAAAAAAACATTACTGGTGTGCATTTTGAGACAAAATAAAGGCACTGATATATTTTAAGATCAATCAGAGCAAGTTTCTTTCCGTTGAAACGGCTCAGATTTAGATTTTAGTCTGGCATTAGGTTTAAGCCTTGTCTGTGAAAACAATTGGTTTTACTTCATTATTTTTTCATGGAGGGTTGTGAGTGTAAAAGTGTGAATAAAAAATAAATATGTCAATAAATATCAACTTCCAGTCATTATAAAGGGTCTGAATACTTTCCGTACCCACTGTATATATTTTTTTCCAATATATTTCTTAATTTTGTTTTACAGCAGTGTTGTTTTTGTTTTTCAAGATATATACTTAACCTATTGTTTATTGACTGATAATAGACTCTTTTTTTTATTCATATCCGTTGGTATTTTATATATATTGGCCACTGACAAATTTTTTTATTAATTTTTATACTGTACATTATAGGCCTGGTTTCACAGACAGGGTTTAGACTAAGCCAGGATTAGGCCATAGTTCAATTAGGACATATAAGTCATTTTTATAAATGTGCCTTAGAAAAAAACATTACTGGTGTGCATTTTGAGACAAAATAAAGGCACTGATATATTTTAAGATCAATCAGAGCAAGTTTCTTTCCGTTGAAACGGCTCAGA